TGGCTGGAGCTGAGCTCTCTGCTGGGGCTGCTTTCCTGCCCTCAGCTTCTATAACCAAAGGAAGGCATTTCTGCTTTTTAATGGTTTTTTTATTTAACGGTTTTTGGGGTGTTTCATAAGCCACTTCCCCTTCCCTCTTGCTGAAATGTTGCCACAGCTGCCAGAGCAGCAGGGCTGGGCCGGGGCTGGGGCTGGGCCTGGGCTGGGCCTCGGCCTGGCCTGGGCTGGGCCTGGGCTGGGCCTGTTTGCTGTGCCCTGGCCAGGGTCACCAGCTGCTCTTTGGTGGCACCAGGGCCTGAATCCAGCATTTCAACAAAACCCCAAATAGGATTCTTTATGGTTCTAGGGTGCCTGATAGGCTTGGAAGCCATGGAATGGTTTGGGATGGAAGGGACCTTAAAGCTCATCATTCCACCCCTGCCATGGCAGGGACACCTTCCACTGTCCCAGGTGGCTCCAAACCCCATCCAGTGTGTGGCCTTGGGCACTGCCAGGGATGCAGGGGCAGCCACAGCTGTGCCAGGGCCTGCCCACCCTCACAGGGCACAATTCCTTCCTCAAATCCCATCCATCCCTGCTCTGTCAGTGTGAAGCCATTCTCTGTTTCCATCACTCCCATTCCTGAGGAACAGTCTCTCTATTTTTAATTTTTTGTGCCTTTCAGGCACTGGAAGGCCCCAGTGAGATAACCCCAAAGCTTCACTCCTCCAGGTAGAACAGCCCCAGCTTTCCCAGCCTGTCTCCATTCCTGCTCCATTGATTATCTGACAGCACCACAGAGACTGACTCAATCCTGGCCATTCTGTGTTTGTTTATTGATACAGGGAGGTTCATCAGGAGGCAATTAATCAGGGCCAATTAACCATGATGTAATCCCTGGGAATCACGTGAGGGAGCAGGAGTGGGGTGGGGCAGGGCAGGCCCAGCTATCACCCCCCAGTTGAGCATCCCTGGTTTCTCCAGGTTCCTCCTGGGGCTCCAGCCTGGTGACATCTGCAGCATCAGCTCTCCTGGCATGGGGACAAGGAGGGGAGGAAGAGCTGACACAGAAATTTGGTGGCATGGCACCTGTGGGGATGACCCCGTGGCCTGGGGTGCAAAGGAGCTGAATGAGGCCCTTGGGGAGCTGTCAGTTCTGCTTTTTGTGCCAGTGAGAGTTCAGGGAGGGTTTTCCTCTGCCTCACCTAGAAACTGGCCGTGCTGAACCCTCCAGCCTTCCCCTCATGGGTTCTTGCAGGGCTTAAAATAGTTCCTGTGTTTGTCACGCTGGGATTTCACAATAGCTGTGGGGTGAGTCACAGGCAGAGGCCAAAGAGCCACTTCTGTCACCTGCGCAGGCACCTCTCACTCCTCAGATCCACAAAAACCAGCAGTGCTTTCCCTCTGAGGAGCAATCCTGCTCATCCCTGGCATGTCTCCTGGCATCCCAGGGGTTGGCAGAGTACCCCCTGTGCCCCAGGGCTCTGCAGGGAGATCCTTTCCCTGTTTCCTGTTCCTGTGTGGCTCTCTGCTCTCTCTCAGTTTACTGAGTAACTTGTATGTGACATTTGTGGAATGCACATTCCAGCTCTGCTCCTGCACTGACCTGTCACCATTGACTTGCTCAGGGGCTGCTGGTGGCCACGACGGGATTTTGGGGTTGAAATGACTGCAATGAACCCCCTGGAGTTGAGCAGCACCTCCTGGGCACTGTGCTGGCAGTTGTCTGCTTGGGTTTTTTATTTTTGGTGCTAATTAACACCCTAAGGACAAATCATCCATGGGATTGAAATGTCCAGGAGTGGAGGAGCTGAAGATGGAACTGGCATCCAGCAGCCTCAAGCTGCACCAAGGCTTGGATATTAGGTTGGATAGGTTGGACAGGTTGGATATCAGGAAAAAGTTTTTCACTAAAAGAGTGATAAAGTTCTGGAATGGGTGCCCAGGGAGGTGGTGGAGTCCCCATCCCTGGGTGTGTTTAACAAAGCCTGGATGTGGCACTGGGTGGCAGGGGTGAGTTGAGGGGTTGGGGCTGCGTTGAACTGGATGGTCTTGAAGGTCTCTTCCAACCCGGTGATTCTGTGAATTCTGTGTGTGATTGTGTGAATTCTGTGTGTAGTTCTGTGTGATTCTCTGTAAATTCTGTGTGTGATTCCATGTGTGATTCTCTGATTCTGTGTAATTCTGTGCGTGGATTCTGTGTGTGAATTCTGTGAGTGACTCTGTGAATTCTCTATGTGCATTCTGTGAATTCTGTGTGTGGATTTTGTGTGTGATTCTGAGAATTCTGTGAGTGATTTTCTGTGTGATTCTATGAATTCTGAGAATTCTGTGAGTGATTCTGTGAATTCTGTGTGATTCTCTGAATTGTGTGTGAGTTCTGTGTGTGATTCTGTGCATTCTGTGTTTGATTCTGTGTGATTCCATGAATTCTGTGAGTGGTTCCGTGTGTGATTCTGTGAATTCTCTGTGACTCTGTGCATTCTGTAAGCCCTGTCCATCCCAGCTCACATGATGCAGGGATGCAGAGGTGCCTCTGCCCTGGCCCCTGCCCCAGGCAGGCACAGGGGGCTCCCAGCTGCTCCCCAGGGATGCAGCCATAGCAGTGAGCCGGGCTGGGCTGTGGTCCCTCCCCAGCCCAATGTGCAGCCCCTGACCCCAGCCCAGCCCCCTGCCCTGCTCCCGGCTCTCCCCAGGTGCTGCAGGGCCCCAGCATCCTGCAGGGCTGGGCTGGCAGGGCCCCTCTGCCGGGAGCAGAGCTCCAGGGGAAGCCCCACCTCTTCTCACAATATTTACTTCCCCTGCTTGGAGCTCTCCCAGCTCTGCGAGTGCAGAGCAAACACAGTGGGGCACTTCTGGCTGCTGTTTGGAAGGGCTGAGCTTCTCCCCGTGCTCCTTCCACGTTTCCAACCCTGCACTGCCCTGTGTGTGAGAGCATCTGCTGCTGCCTGGGTGAGAACCCAGCTGGGCTGAGCTAGAGAAACCCCCTAATTTCTCCTGAAAGCAGCAGGAGCTGCTGGCCTGAGCGTGGGCAGGGAGCCCAGATGGAAATGGATTTGTCCCCTGTGTGAGGACAGGGCTGTCTCTGCCAGCTCCTGGAATGCAGCAACGCTTCAAAACACAGCACAGATCCCTCGTGTTCCTCCCTCTGCTGAATGATTTGCCCAATATTCCTCCCTGCCCTGCCCAGCTGTCCCTTGGTGCGTGTGACAGTGTCACCCAAGCTGTGTGAAGCTGTTCAGGGGGGTTTGTGGTGTTTGCAGCAGGGATTTATCCTCCTGCGAGCTCCCCTGAGGGTTTTCCAAACACAGAGATGCAAACTGCAGAGTGGGGAGAAAGGTCACGAGCAGAGCTTTGTGACCGTGCTCACAGGGGTTCTTGGATGAGGGAGGAGATGAGGATCTGACTCCATGTTTCAGAAGGCTGATTTATTGTTTTATGATATATATTACATTAAAACTATACTAAAAGAATAGAAGAAATTATTTTATCAGAAGGCTGGCTAAGAATAGAATAGCAAAGAATGACCACAAAGGTTTGTGGCTCAGACTCTCTGTCTGAGCCAGCTGATTGTGATTGGTTATTAATTAGAAACAACCACATGAGACCAATCACAGATGCACCTGTTGCATTCCACAGCAGCAGATAATCATTGTTTACATATTGTTCCTGAGGCCTCCCAGCTTCTCAAGAGGAAAAATCCTGAGGAAAGGATTTTTCATAGAATATGTCTGTGACAGAGCTTGGCCAGCTCCTCCAGGGGTTCCATCCCCAGTGGGAATTGTTGCCCTGGGGGAGAGGGGAGGAAAAGGTGGGAGGAGGTGGAATTGTGGGGAGCAGTGGGGGAGCTGCTGACTCAATGAGCTGCTGGGAATGTCTGGATGCTCCTGAGTCAGCAGCTCCTGTCTCACCCCTCTGCCACGAGTGACACATCTCCTGCTGCAGCTGGGCTGTGGATTTTACAAATTTTACACAATCACTGAGGTTGGAAAAGGCTTTCAACATCATCAAATCCAGGCTGTGCCACATCCCCACCTTGTCCCCAGCCCAGAGCACTCAGTGCCACCTCCAGGGATGGGCTCTCCAACCCTCCCTGGGCAGTGCCAGTGCCTGAGCCCCCTTTCCATGGGGAAATTCCTGCTGTGCCCACCCTGAGGCCGTTCCCTCTCCTCCTGTCCCTGTCCCTGGGAGCACAGTGCCATCCCCACCTGGCTGCACCCTCAGATAGATCTTGGTTGGATTATCTGCATACTCAGGATTTCTAGTAATTCACCTGTGGTATCATCAGAGAACTTCTACACTTTGAGGTTTCCTTGCTTCCTTTTTTCTCCCCATGCTACAAACAGCACGCTGCATCTCCTTCCCTCAAAGTTTCCCTTTCCCTGTGATGGGAAGTGGTTTGGCTTTGGAGCCTGGAGGGAGGAAGGAGGATCTAACCACTCTGTGGGCAGCTTTGGGAAGCAGAAATGCCCCTGCAAGTTCCCTCCTGGTGGGATGGCTGGGGCCAGCCAAGCTGAGCAGGAACTGGAGCTCTTTAATTTACAGGAACCATCCATGGAATGGGCAGTGTTAAAAGTCTCCTACACTTTAGAGCATTTTGTGGCAGATATTTCTGAATTTCTGCGCAAATTTCAATCCTAATGCTTGGCTGGCTGGGCTGTGAGCACACACACTGACAGCTCAGCTTGCCATCACCATAAAATAAAATAAATGGACTCAATAAATGGAGATTTTCATCAACATCAATAAAAAGGGAGTTTTCAACATAGCAGAGGGCAACTTTTTATATTGATAAATTAATTAATTTATCAACATATTGTGATAATATGTTGATAAATATATTTATCACAATATAATGTGATAAATGTTAGAACACCAGTGATAAATGTTAAAAGCACCCACAACCCAAAGCTGCTCCAGGGTGGACTTCCCATCCCTGGTGGTGTCCAGGGAGCAGATTCCAGAGCTCAGCAATTTGCTGCTCCTCACTTTCTCTGCACTCACCCTGATTTTCCTTCCAGGCCAAGAACAAGGAGACGGGAGCTCTGGCAGCTGCCAAGGTCATCGAGACCAAGAGTGAGGATGAGCTGGAGGATTACATGGTGGAGATTGAGATCCTGGCCACCTGTGACCACCCCCACATCGTCAAACTGCTGGGAGCCTTCTACTGGGATGGCAAACTCTGGGTAAGGCTGGGCTGGCACATCCTGCCCCTGTCATGGTGAACAAACCCCTGTCTGGAGCTGCTTGAGCATCAGAAATGAGTCATGAGCTCACTCTGTGCTCAGGGCCAGGATTTTCCCTGCTGTCCTCACCACCAAACTCTCTTCTTGCTAAAGCTGCTGGTAAAAACCCAAGGGAGGGCCAAGGGATTTCACAGGGAACTTGGAGTTGGGTTTTTTCCCACCATTAAAAGTTTGTAAAGGGAGAAAAAGCATCACCAGTAAGTTCCCCTCTCTTTTAAAACACCAACTGGAAGGGAGACTCTTCCAGGTGATTTTCAGGATTTGGGGCTCAGCCCTTGCAGTGCAGAGGCACCTGATAGCAAGAGCTGCATTGTGGAGGGGCAGGAACATAAAATGCAGTGGAGTGGGTTGGTGCAAGGGCTGGAACAGCAGGTTCCTGCAGCTCTCTCCCCTAGCCCAGCAGGTTTATAGATGGTTTTTGATTTCCCCTGCCTGCTGTTCTCTCGGAGTGGTGAAAGCTTCAGAGGAAGCCGAGTGTGAAAGGCAGCAGAGGAAGCTGAGTGTGAAATGCTCCTTCCTGTGCTCTGTGCAGGGCGTGGAGGGGCTGAGGGAGTGAGCCCTTGGGTGCTCAGCTCTGTGCCTGGGTGAGGGTTGTGGAAATCAGGTGAACAGGAGCATTTCCAAACCCATCTCAGTTCATCTGCTCCTCCTTGAACTGCAGCAAGTCAGGAGAGTGGCAAAGGGTGCATCCAGCAGCTCTGCTGCTTCTTCCTTCCTGTTTTTAACGTCTCAGATGCCTCTGTGGCCTCCCTGGGTAGATTTAATCGAGTTAAAGAGGAGATCTCAGCTTTTGGGGCTTGCCCTGGTGTGAGCTGGGCTGTTGGAGCTGCCAGTCCCTGCCTGTGGTGCCAATCCCAGCCTGGCTCACTCCTGGCAGTGCAGGAGGGGGATGTTTCATTGGGCTGGTTCAGCAGCACCTTTTGCATTGTCAGCACGTGTTTTCTTTGTTAAAAATCCATGGCTGAAGGCCCTGAGCCCTGTGGAACACCCAGCTTGCAGTGCTGGAGTGTTTCTGCTCTCTCTTCTGCTCTCAAGGGAGCTGAGTTGTCCCCTTGGTATTTTGGATGGATTCTGAGCCCTGGTTATGTTAAGAACAAGGTAAATATGTACTCTGTGAGGAAGGGAAGGACAAACATCCCTCCTAGGATTGGGATTTGGATGGATTGCAAGTGCAGCAGGATTAATCTGGGCTGAAGTAAAAAGGCAAACACAGCCTGAGCAGGGGTGAGAGATGAGGCTGCTTCAGCTGCCACCCTCTTTGGCTTCACCTCCCTGCCTGCCTGCATCTTCCACGTGGGCCCTGCTCTGCTCTGAAATGTCAGCCCCCTCCCAAGGCCAAGGAAGCTTTGCCTTCCTTCCTTCCTGCCTGGAGGAACAGGGATTGCAGAGTTCCTTTGTGACCTGCCAAAATTAAACTCTGCCACAGGAGCCTCCTGTCTGGGGCTCCCCCCAGGGCAGGGTCTGGGGTCCTGTCAAACCCTCCCTGCAGCCCCAGCATTGTTCTGGGAGCAGGATCCTTCTCTTTATCTCATTTTTGGAGTAGCATTTGCATTTCAGTGCTCAGGCTGGTTTTATTAATGCTCCAGTGTTTCCCTGGCTTGGAGGGGAGTCATTAAGCCAGGCTGTTTTAGTTCTGCAAGGCTTTTAGTCCCCACCAGATTTTCCCTGAAGTCAGAACCTTCCTCTGCTTGGTGACCAGTGCTGCTGGGGAAAATCTGCATCCAAACATAAACAGCAGCTTTTATTGCTCTGCCCACATCCCCTCCTCGTTGCTGTCTGTGCAGTTGTTTGAAGCAGCATTTTCCTGCGGCATTTGCATGCTGGGTGCCTGGATTCTCAGATAAAACCTCTGGGGGTGTCTGGTCAGGAACCCTCTGTGGCTCCCTTGCTCCTCACAGCCCAGCATGGAATGGGAATATTCCAAGTGAGCAGCTCCAGATGTGCCCAAGCTCCTGGGTGGCAGCAGCTTGAATAATTCACAGTGCCACAAGCTCTTCCTAAATCACTGTGGCTGTTCTTTCCTTGGGGAAATGTGTGAGGAACCCTCTGCCCCCCCTGAGCTGGGTCTGGCTCCTCTTTGTGCTCCAGCAGCCAGGAGGGGACATGAAATGAAATATTTATGCAGCAAAAGACCTTTCTGTGCAAGGGGAAATGGCTCATCCTCCTGCAGCTGCTCAGAAATCCACAGCACTGGAAGCAAAGCACAAACCAGAGAGTTCCTCTGGGTTTTATACCTGGTTTTTAAGTGTAAAAGAGGAAAACCTCAGTTCTTGTGTGGGATGGAGCAAGGCCCACTGTGAGCAAGGGTTGGGAGAGCACCAGTGAGTTCCCAGGGATAAATCTGGTGGGATAACAGCATCCAGCATTAACTTTCTTGGCATTTAAATCCTCAGCAGAGATGCTGTGCCCTGCCAGCAGCTCCTATCTCGTTCCATCCCCCTCCACCTCCTTTTCTTTGCTCGTGGCAGAGGCCAAGGAGTCTTGTGCTGCTTGAAAACAGCCCAGGGAAGCTGCAGAACTGCCCTGGTGGGAGCTTTCAGAATTTTATTTTATTTTCATTACAAGCCCCGTGGCATTTCATGTTCTTTTGCATAAATCCTGGCTGCTGGAAATGGGGGCACTGAATGAAAGCTGAGATTCTCATGCTTGCTTTTAAAGAGTTTGGTTTGAGTCCTTGTGGCTGGGACACATTTTAAATTCTCTTTTCCTGCGCTGTGATGCAGGACTTGGAAACACAGAAGCAAATCCCCCTCACCCAATATAACACAGCTTTTAAAATGGACTTTTTAAAGTTATTTGAGGCTTAGGAACGGGGCTGAGAGGGGGTTTGCTTGCTTTGAACAGGATTTTCCCTGATAATTATTACAGCATGGGAAAAGGAGCACAACAACAGCTCTTGTGTTTTGTGTCCCTCTCGAGGGCTGCGTGGTTGGGAGTCTTTTTTTCCCCCTTCCAAAACAACAACAAAAAGCCAGGCTGAGAGCTGGGAGGAAGGGAGGCACTTCTGATGTGCTGCTGCTGCTGCAGCATTCTGCAGTTCCCAGTGTCTCCTCCCGCAGCCAGAGCACTGATAACACACAGGGGAGGAGAATTCTGTTTGCTGTGACCTTTCCTGCAGGAAACCTCTGCTCCCAGGGCATGGTGGCTGTGCCCAGCCAGCCCTGCAGGATGGCAGCAAACCCAGGAGCCTGAGATGCTCCAGTTGTGAGGCTGCAGGAGCCGCTAGAAATTCAAGGTATCTCTAGAACTTCAAGGTATCTCTAGAAATTCAAGGTATCTCTAGAAATTCAAGATATCTCTAGAAATTCAATGATATTTTAATATCATTTGGCCCCAGGTGTTGCAGCTCTGTGCTGGTGGTGGGACAGCTTTTCCAGGGAAGCCCTGGGGAGGTGTCTCCCCCTTTTCTGCTTCTCCCTGCCCCACAGTTGCCATGGCAAAAGGGGTTTTGAATAAACAGCTTTTTCGTGGAGATCAAAGCAGGGGTTGCTGCTCCGTGCAGGTAACCCTGCCTGCCTGGGCCTTTTGGGGAATGGCTCATTTAACCAGCTCAGGGTTTCTCCTGTGTGGGTACAGACTCCCACAGCTGGCACAGACACTCCAGCTCTGTGCTGCTCTTTGTGCTCACATTAAAAAAAACCCTTTGCATTTGCTGTGGGCAGGCCCTGACCTGCCCAGCCAGGCACTTTTGGGATTGCTTCCCCTTTGATATGGATGTTGACTGGAGATTTGGGCATTCTTGAAAATCCTGTAGCATAAAGAAATGTTCATTATCCCATGCACTCGACTGCTGGGCTATGTAAAGCATCTGCAGCCTCTGAGGCTGGCAATACCTTTCCTTTAAAACAAACAGAAAAGGGAGCTGGTAGCAGGCTCAGATTCCCCTCAGTTTTCCTTAGCAAAGGGAGGTTATCACAACTTGCAGGGATGTCTTGCAGGGTGAGCAGCCTGAGCTTGGCTGGATGCCCGTGGGGATGTGTTTGTGTGAACGCTGCACCAGAGCAAGGCTCTCCAAGCTGCTCCTCTCCATTCCCTGAGGAATCCCGTGGCTCTTTGTGTCCCTTTAAAGCTCCACTTGGCAGCAGAGCTGCAGCCCTTCCTACGTGGCCTCCTGCTCCTGGAGCTTTGTACCAAACTTCCCCCAGAAGTTGTTGAACTTCGTTGTTTGAGCTGGCAGGACTGAGCGCGGCCCAGGGAAAGCCCAGGAAAACAAAGAGATCCCAAACTCTGCTGAACAGCTCACCAGAGGAACAGCAATCCCTCCCCTTCCTCAGCAACATAAATCCCAGTCCCTGTGGGATCTGGCAGGGCTGGGGAGCTGCTGCAGGATCAGCCCCGCTGGGAATAGCAGCAGTGAGGGGGTGGGGTTGGCTGGACCGGTTTCCAAATTCCTACCAGTCCAGAATTCGGGCAGAACTGCAAAACACCCCCAGGAGCTCCAGCAGGGTGGGTAGGACAGGAGCAGGTGTGGGCAGAGAGCAGCAGGGCACTGCCAGGCCCTGGGAATGCAGCAGGGACATCACAGCGTCCCCTCCCTGGCCTCAGGGGCAGCTCCTCAGCTCGGCCAGAGCTGCTAAGTGGAAAAAGTGATGCAGCCCAGTGGGGTTTTGGCGCTTTGCTGCATTTCCTGGGTCAGCAGTTTGCTGTTCAGAGCAGCACAATTGAAGTGGGTGATCACTCCTGCTCCAGCTTTGGGGCCGTGTCTCTGCCAGCTGGGATGAGATGGGTCAGATCTCTGGGTGACATCTCCTTCCCTTCTCCTTGCCTGGCCATTCCCAAAGGCCTGGAAGGAATGAATGCTCTGGGTCAGATCTTTGGGTGATATCTCCTTCCCTTCTCTCTGCCTGGCCATTCCCAAAGGCCTGGAGGTGTAAATCTTCTTCTGTTGGAAATCTGGGCAGCAGGTTCCCCCTCTGTGCTGTGAATGTGAGCTTCAGCAT